GGCTGTGGCAGCAGGGTCACTGTCCACCTGGAGCTCAGGGGTGCCAGGCACCGCCAGTTCACCCTGGCCACAGAGCACCAGGGGTCCTGGCTGGCTGGGCAGTAGGGGAACTGCACAGTGTGGAAAGACCCGGTGGAGCCCCTCTCTCGCCACCCCGCCCATAAGAGGAAAGAAAACAAAAACACAAAAACAGCAAAACCAGGGCCAGACGTTGCACAGGGGCCCTGCTGTGCACGGGGAGGCCGGCCCCTGGGGCAGCTGCGCTGGGACTCCCAGCCTGCGGCTCCAGAGACAGCCCTGCCCTGCCTGTGTGCCCAAATCCTGCTGGGTGGAGAAGCCAGGGGAGAGAATCCCTGCGTGACCACGGCCGCTGCTCACTCTCTCCCTCTCCCCCTTCTCTGGCAAGCACATGTACCTCTGCCCGCCCCATGTGTGAGGTTAGACAAGGTTATCTTTCGGTCTGCCTAGTCCTGCGGGGTGGGGGGATAGCTGCACCGAGTCATTAACACTGTAGTCTGAATTAGCCGCAGCGTGGCCTTTCCCAGGGGCTTTTGCTTTAAAAGACAAGGTAAGGTGCGACATCAGAGTGCATTGCTCCACACGGTGTCAGCGTCCTCAGCATCAGGCCAGGAAATAACTGCGTGTGGCGTCCTTCCAGTTCTCTAGATACTGTGCCCAGTAAGTGGCCCTGAGGCTCACAGCACTTGTGACCCACACCAGCCTACTCAGGACCTCCTCCCTAGGAGAGCTGTGTTTATGGGGCAGGGTGAGCGAGCAGGAGCCCCTTCAGACAGGCCCTGAGCCTGGGAAGGGCCTTTCGTACAGAGGCCTGCCCTCCCTCCCGGCCCACCTGAGAATCCTGAAGACGAGCCTCCTTTCGGGCAAGGCAGAAAGGGGCTGAGTTAGCCCAGTTAGGTGACTGGGAGTAGGAGCCTCTCCCAGCGACCTCGTGCTGCGGGAAGAGGCCGCCTGTGCGAAGGCTGATGTTCTCTGTGTCTCACTTACAGAGAAGCTTCAGACAGAGCTCGGTGAGTGATCTGCGTCCCACTCGTCCCTCTCGTCCGCCTTTTGCACCTGACTCCCCATGCACGTCTCCTGCTCTGGCGTGTCTGATGCCTGGGCTGAACCACCTGACCATGAGTGAAAGCCGGCAGGGAGCAGGGCTGGGTGGTGAAGGGGCCGTGAGCGGGACCTGCGGGACCTGCTGTTCTGATTCCCCTTTCCCTTGGCTGCCTCAGACTGGAGAAGGGCCGAAGGCCAGGCTGGTGAGTGAAGCCCGATTCTCCACCGTGCTGTGCTTTCCTCTCAGCTCTCGGCTCCTCACGCTCCTCACCCACCACTTTCCTGCTGGAGCCATTGCATGCCCTCACATGGCACATAGTAGTCCTTGTCACTTGGTGGAGGTTATGTTTATTTTCATGTTTTCCCGAAGCCTAAGCCTACCGGGAACCACTGGGTCTGCGGTCACCTAGACTCCCGGGGTGCGTTCTCAGACTCTGGCCCGAGGTCTGGGGGGGGCGGGCACCACAGGTGAGTACTCTATTCCCACCGTGAGGCACGGCGCACACGCATCCCCACTTGCATATATTCTTGCGAACTGGGCACAGCTTTGCGCACACGCATCGTGGTTGTGCAATGACTGCGGTCTCACGCCCTCCTGGCCCTTGTCGCTCAATGCTGTCTACGTCCATCCGTGACACCAAGTCTGCCTCTGGCCCGCCTCTCCTGCCGCAGAGAGCCCCTCTTGGCAGGCACCTGCTGGAGTAGACATCCAGGCGGGCTCTGACCCCGCCACAGACAGCCCTGAATGAGTAGTCCCCGTCGGTCACCTGTGCCCGAGATGTCCCCAGGAGAGGGACACAGGAGGGCACTGCTGGGCTGCTGGGTGGGCTAGAAGGGTCCCTGGAAGGTAGTGTCCTCACCCTGCCGTGGGCAAAGCGGAGGCCCCACGGGCCCCTGTGAGCAGGTTCTCAGCCCGCCAGCCAGGGAGGGTGAGCCGGCGCTCGCTGTTCCGGGGCGCACACCCGAGTGCCAGGCCGCCATGTCTCTATGCACTCGCTGCTTTGGGGAGCTTCCTCTTCTGAAAATTGCTAGTTCATAGTCTTTGTCTATTTTCCTGGTGGGGTTGCTGCTTTTTTCTTACTGATTCACAGGAGACGTATACATATAATCCTATACTTACATATTATGTACATATTTCATCTCTTACTATTAAACGTTATACATTTCTTCTTCAGTGCTGTCGGCTACTCTTAGCTTCATCCCTGGTTCCCTTATTGAAATAATTAATTCTGATAAAATCTAATTCATCAACTTTAAGCTTCTGGCTGAGTTTTTGAAGTTCTGTTGAGGAAGACCGTCCTTATGTTAGGCACAAAGGTGCTCTGACGTTTCCTGTTACCCTCACGCATGTGACGTGTAAGCCTGAATTCACCCAGGACTTGCCACCCGTGGGTGTCAGGTGATCTCCGTAAAGGAGCTGGTCTCCCCGACGCCTGCTTCTCCAGTGCGTGGGGTCACTTCCTGCACACTCGTTGTAACAGAGGTACAAGCTGTGGTTTCCCATGACCTGAGAGTTCTTCTTTCCCATTTCTGCTTCCTTTTTAAAGTCAATGGGCCTTTCTTAAATATAAATTTTGGAATCAGTTTATGAAGTTCTTTTTAAAAATGTGAAAGATTACTTTGAATTTATAGATAAATTTGGGAATTGACATCTTTATAGAATTGAGTTTTCCCATGCAAAAGCCATGTATTTTCAGAGTTCCACTTACTGGTTACTCAGATGCAGAACTGGGGTTGAAAAGTCCGTGGTCATTTAGGCGCTCTGAGAACATCTTGTATCGCTCTTGCTACTATGTAGCTCGGCGATGTCTGTGTCTCAGAACAGGACAAGAGGGAGCAGCACGCACTCAGGACGGCTCTGCTACGAGAGGAAGGACTGGAGGGTGTCTCAGGGAAGGGCCAGGCTCAGACAGCCTCCCAGGGATGGCCTGGCTGGCAGAACTGGCCTTCACAGTGCTCCCTCAGGGCGGGAGGCCTGCCGATCAGCTCCTTCCCCACACGCCCTGTTCTCTTCCCAGCACAGTTCCAGCCTGCGTATAGTTTGGTGTCACCTCGTGCTGACACAGCCCTCTGCCTGAGATTCCCAGGAAAATGCCACTGGCCCCGCCCAGTCTGTTATGGTGGGAATGGGATCATGTGACTTGCGGACGTCCCTCTGGCACCCTGAGCCTCGCGCAGGAGTCCGAGTTTCCCACTCCAGCCTCTGAGTCCTGGCCTCTGTTTGGTTTTGGTTTCAGAGTGGAGAGCAGCCCGGCAACACGCAGGTAACCGGAAGAGACTGGCTCCAGCTGGGAGTGGGCGGAAACGGAGTGCAGAGGCTGGAGAGCAGAGGAAGCCTGCCATGGCTCCTGCACACACACGTGTGCGCATGCACACACAGCTGACACCAGCGTGCACACACACGCATGCACACGCATGCACACGCCCCCACATGCAGGTCTGGGTCTCAGGCTGGTTCCACCTGGTGGGAGGCTGAGAGAGAAGTGTAGTCTGGAGGGAATCTCTCAGGTCATCTGAAGGGACCCTGGAGGCCCCCTCTGAGAGACAGGGCGTTTTAGGGGTGCAGGTAACTAGACTGGATTATCTCAGAAGTACTGTTTAGTTTGAAAATCCTAAAATTGTTATAAAACTGCCCCTCAGAGCCCAAGTGGAGTCCCCCAGAACACAGGGTGGCGGGATCGCCAGGGAGGGCTGAACCAGCCGGAGCTCCTTCCCCAGGGCGGTCTCCTTCCCACTCCGCCCCTGGTCTGCCCCGGCAGCGCCCAGGGTGGACTCCAACACCCGCCCGGTTCAGGAAAGCACGGTTCCTCCTGGATTCAGATGTTCTGGAGTGCCCGGCAGTGCACTCCAGCCAGGGCCAGGTGGGTGGGAGTGGCGGTGACCACTTCACCGACCTCCGGGACAACAGCGGGCAGAGGTCTCCCTGTCGGGGACAGGGACAGAACCTACTGCACGGGCGCGCCCTGACCGTGTCCCTCTGCCCAGTGGACGTGACCCTGGATCCGGCCTCGGCGCACCCCAGCCTGGAGGTGTCGGCAGACTGCAGGAGCGTGTCCTCCCGCGCGGCGCCGGGGCCGG